CCTGCAAATATAGGGAGAGACTGATTCCACGATTTATACCATACTCAGCGGGTTGCAATTAGGGGTGTCAAGTGGACTGAATTTGGTCCAGTCCAATCTAGTCCAATGTGAGTCTATTATAAATGGGCCAGGTCCAATCCAATCCTATGAATGTTTTGGACTAATTTGGATTGATCCGATTCAATGCTTGGACCGTTCAATCTGTTCAAATTTATTTTGATTTAGATTGATTTCAACCCAAATCTGGTCCATTGATACATATATTCTTATCTTGTATCAATAAATCAGATATTGGCTTAATCCAACCTAATCCAGTATAAATTTGTTACGGACAGACTAAGTCCAATCTAATCTAATTAATATTTTAAACCAGATCGGTTCAATCTAATGTGTCTTGTTGATTCATCCAATCCATCTAAATTAATTTTGGATTGGACGAGGTCCAATCCAAAACCAGTCCACTGACGCCCTTAATTGCAATGGAGCAACCTAACCATTGACGCCAAAAGTCCCACCCTTGAGACGGAAAAGGTAAATGCTTTTTAATTGGGAACATTATTACCTTTAGAGGTTGTTCTTAGTAATAATAGTTTGTCAGAGTAATTGTTGAATGTGCTCTTTCTGTAATTTCCTTATTATTTCTAATTGGTATAATATAATTTGGTAATCTGCTTTTCGTTTCATAAGATATGATTTGATAATCTTCTTCCATAGTCATGACATCTTTTGAAATCACATCAAATTGTTTGTGATATTTTAAGTAGGGATTTTTATTGTTAAATCCCCTAAAAAATTTTAACACGTTCGGGTCAGTGTCAAGAGGGCGAAAGATTCATAATTCACGGGGATGGTGTGCATAGGGAGTTATTATGGGTAAATACGAGAACACATTTGCTGCGACCCCCGATTCATGACAAACGCGAGAGACACTCGGCGAGTTTTTATCATGCCAGTGCTTTAATGTGATACTTTGTCCTTTTTCACCCAACACTGCTATTCCTGATCGGTTAACTATTATCTTAAATCACGCCTAATGTTTCAACAAAATCCTTATACACATCATATCACGTGAAGTATAAATTTTTTAAAACTCAACATTATCCTTTATCCTCTTCTTCTTCTATGAGGTTGGTAAAAATACTGGCAATGAACGGGACTGTCATGCCAGATTATCTATTGTTTCAGAGAGAGGATGATTGTTACTCCATTCGCTTATCCTAGCATCTCCTTTGGATACTCTGAGTTGGAAAATTCCGACAAAGAAACACTGAGATTCTGGTTGAGTGATAAATCAAGGGACTGCGATTTCGATAGTTTGAAAAAGAATTTCCCAATCAACCCACAAGAATTGATCAGACGTAGTGCAACTTAGCAAGTGCTGTGTCATCGTTACATCTCCGTCTCATCAATTCGGTCCAACAAACGAAGAATGAGAAGCTAACAGTATAATGTTTGAGGATCCGTGGCGGAACAAGGGAAGTGAGAGAGAGAGAGAACGGGAAAGAGAGATGGCCATGAGCTCCAATCGCAGAGAGCGGCGTGCTTTCAGGAATGAACTCTGATGGAGGAAATTAAATCAAGATTGTGATTGAAGGGAGAGGGTTCGAGGTAGAGACGGAGATCAGGACCAAAAGGAGAGGGTTCGAGGAATGAACTCTGGCTTTTCAATGTCATTCTGATAACTGGAACGATAGGTGGCATCGGCCACTGATCTAGATTAATGACATGGCCAAACAAAAGTGAAGTCATGAGACCCGTCTGTGCATAAATCTTCGGCCTTATTGCTTGAAGATCTGCTAACAGAGGAGCCGCTAATCTGGAGTAACGACATGGCCGAACAAAACTGATGCTTAGAGTAGGGGTGAGCAAGAAAAACCGAACCAAATCGAAAAACCAACCGAAACCAAACTAAAAATTTGGTTTGGTACTTAAAAAACAAAGGTACTGGTTCAGTTTTGATTAACCAAAATAGAAAACTGGTAGTTAACTGAATTCATCGGTATACATATATTTATATATATATATTATTTATTTATATATTGTATATTTTCTATACATTATAAATTAATAAATATGTATTATATATAAATATATAATTTATTATTTATTATTTAAAATATAATATTTTATATATATTTCTAGTATTGTATTATATATTTATATATTTTTTTATAATATATATTGTAAAAATAAAAATTTGGAAAACCGATGAACCGAACTGATGTTTAACCTATCGGATTCAGTTTGGTTTCGATAACTGGGTTTTTCAAAAACCGATAACCCCGGTTCGATTTCAAAAAATAAGCTTATAGTTTAGTTAACCAAACAGTGAGTAACCCTAGTCATAGGACCCCATATGTGCATAAATCTTTATTCTACAGCATTGAATCCTTGTAGGGCGATCGGATGGAGGAAAAACTACCACTGCTGTGAGTTGCAGCGGTGGATGAAGCAGAGAAGGGCAGACTGACGGAGAAAAAATTCTGAGATGAGATTGCAGCGGTGGGTGGACTGAGGATGAATTCTGGGAGAACAAAGCCAACTGTGTTTAATGACATATTCTAAAAAAAGGCTTTCATATTGGGTATCTGAATTCTGAGAAGATGATAAAGATGAGATTGGAGCTCGTCATCCTCTCAAGGGAACTGTTATGGACGAGAGAGAGAGAAGAGTGATCCTATCAACTGGCTTTGGCTGGGCCGGCCGGTTCCACTAACGACACAGGCAGCACCGCCTGCAGGGGGTTTGAGCACATGAGGTGGGTTTTCGATTCAGCGGAGATCATTAGTTGTAGCGCCGAGTTTGAGGAAATTTAGATGGAATTTAATGAAATGGTAAAACCGGTGTTTTATCCTTTCAGTGAAAACAATTGTCAGAAAAAGTAGGAATGGTGCAAGACAATAATTAAATAAACAGTAAGAGCATAGTCAATTAACTAAAACACAGGAGTGGTTTAAGAAATTTGCCTATGTAAGGGAGATTGATGATCTTTGTTTTCTTGCAGATGTGACAAGTTTGTAGAAAACAACAAATTTGTTTCGTGGAAAATCAAAATTCTAAATTTATTAATCCGACGACAAAGGCTACACGCCCTAATAGTAAAAATTAACAATTATGGAAAATAAAATTGGCAACAAATTTTGTTAATGTAACGCACACTTGCTTTTTAATCTTTTAAACTTACCCGGTAATCACTAGACCTTGAACTTGAAAACATTTCACTAATACAAGTTCTTGGGAATTTGTCGTCTTAGCGATCATAAACGTTAGTTAGAGAGGGAAATTAGTAGAGGGGGGAGAGGCGCAAGGTGTAAATGAGAGCACTGGCTAGTGGCTACCATAGATCCCAATAAGGTCGGCACACTAGTGTTGCATGGTCACCATCACCAACATATATAGGAATTACCCTATTTTGTTGGCTTAAAAATCAAAATCTGACGGGTGTTTGGGAGTGAGTGACGTAGGAGATGAAAAAATAATGACTGTAATCGTTTAAAGAAAAACACTTGGGCACTTTGTCCACACTCGTTAAAACTTTAAAGGGGGTTTACTTGCCAATTGCCATGATCGAGGTATCCAAAACAGATCGAGTGTCCACATGAGATGGCAAACGGAATCTACAACTCACAACTTTTTAGATAGGCGATTCCAACCATTAACTGCATGCGTATTAATAACTTGTTCAGCTGTGAGCTCGGGAGTGGCCGTTAGTCACATGCCGCACGTGTTTACGATTACTGATGACTGATCACCTCCTTTTATTACTCAGAGACTAGTCTTGTGATGTATTATTGTTGAGGATTGTGATTTCATTTTTAAAGAAAAAAAATAAATCAACAACATCGATCCATTTGGTTGGTGAGATATGTCGTTGTCATGGTGCATGCGATGCGACTAGGGTGAGAAGTGGGAACGAACCGAACCATAACCATAACGAAGAAAGCGTGACATTTGACATGCTTTAAAATTAATTCTGATGGTGGTGGTGTGGTGTTGGGGGACTGACGAGTGACGACTGAAAGGGCCGGCCGGCGATTCATTATTCATTCATTTCAGCTTAGCATGCGCTGCTGCTCACTCTCCTTTCTGCAATGATGCCTTGCGCCACAAAAATGCCCGGCCACTATCATTACACCCCCAAAACTTAATATATTGAATGAACAAAAAAGTGTTGTTTTCATATATAAACAATATGGCCTTTGCTGCTCCTCCAAGCTACGAAACCATTCCCCCTTTTTTCTAATGGTGTTTGTATTTGTATGTGAACTCCTAATACTCCCCATTGGTATATATATCCTATGTACATCCATGGTGGCATTCTCTCTCTCTCTCTCTCTCCTTTCTGCTCTGCTCTGTATTTTGAGGCAAGTTGTGGAACGATTGAACCAGATGACAACAATGACTTAAACAGAGTAGAGTAACAGGGCCTGCAACGATGGACGTATAATGGCAGTCAAAACGGGCCCGTGAAACTAAGATTAGTCATAATGGCTAATGCAAAGATATGGACGGACACCATGAGTGAGTGGGTGAAGCGCTTCTACATGTATGGGTTCATGGGTCCATGCAATTGACAATGCACTCAAAATGCAGGATTTAATGGCCCTGAGACTATGTTTGATTTGATAGAGATGAAGAGAAAGTAGTTGAAAAACTAAAAACTTTGTGAAAGAGAAAATTAAATTGTATTTAATGCATTACCTGAGGGGACCATTTTAATTGGCTGGGAAAGGGAAACCAAAAAACACATCTTCAACATCATTCATCAATACTAATACACTAATACATATTCTTCTCTGATCTCTAATCTCTAATCTCTAGTCTCTGATCTCTAGGGATATATATAGGTAATGAAGAACCAAATCAATAATCATATTGTTCCCTCCCTCACAAAAATTCCAAATATGATGACAAATTCAAGTACAAGCAACCCACCACTTCCTCAAACTCTTATAAAAGCCCATTCCCAGTGTGTAGGTGCTCCCATCTTCACTCTAACTCCTAGCTACTTAACTCAAACTTCACGCTGGTATCAGTATGGTCACGAAGTTGACAACTTTGTTCTCCTTCATCATCTTCTTCTTTCTTACCTTTCCCTTTGTAGCTCGAGCTCAGGGCCGAGCGCCACATGGCCTTGCTTATGAGAGCCCAATGGCCTTCTCTCCGGCAGCTTTCGAGTTCTTCCACCCAACTGCTCAACGCCCCGTTTCATCATGCGCCCAATCCCTCGACTGTGCACCTCTGCCTCTCTCCTTCTCTAGTGTTTCTTCGGCTGTGGCACAATCAACTCAAGCTTACCAAAGCAAGCTATCGAAACCACCAACGAGTTCAAGTGGAATACGTGTGGGTGGCATTGCTGGCATCGTCTTTGGCTTCGTGTTTGCCGTGCTGCTAGCAATGGGTCTCTACTACGTAGTCACCATGCGCCGAGCCAATATCAATCGATCTATTTCTGTCCGCCCAGATGTCTGATACATTCAATTAATTGGCTTGCCCTTTGATCCATTTTGGTGCTCTTCGATCGGTTCCTTTTTCTCTTGTCCTAGTTAGTTACAAGATTTGTATCTATAATTTTAATTCTAGTTTTCAATCAAATGCCATCTATGGCTATCTTATCCTATAAACAAGGACTGATTTCTTCACAGACTTGGCTGGTAAGGTAAGATAATAAACCAAGGATAGTAATAATAATAATAATAATAATAATAGGAAGAGGAGGGAGGTTACATCGATCCCCCTTGTAGTCCTCTACTTACGCAAGGCTATATACCCGCAGGTGTGAAAAATAGAAATAGAGGATTGAACTTGTAGTGGAGGCTGCTACAAGTTAGGAGAGAAATATTGTGAAAATTATTGTTACCTTCTTTTTCTTGCAAGCCCCATTTGGAACTATGGCATGAGAACCAACTCATGATCCAAGAGGCAGAGAGAGGACACTGGACAGGCTGACTGAGCCTCTATGTTTGATGGGCTGGGCCTAGCCATACCCCATGTGTTTGTAAACGAGTCTTTGCAGAGACTAGCAGCTAGGAGCACAATTAATGCAAGTGACATTGATCTCAGTTGGGCTTTTATTTAAATACAATGGAATTAAAGTTTAAAGCTGCATTAATTCCATTCCTTGGTTGCTTTTCCAAGTTCCAAACATTAGTAATTCCTTTGGTGGAAATTTAAACAGTCAAAGGAAGTCCCATTTTGTCTAACTCTTCAAAGTCTCTCAGGACCCTTCATATGGCTCATCCATGGATTATCTCTGTATTGATATGGGGCTTTTACAACTTATGAAACAATAATAATAACGGTGGATAAAATAGGCTCTTTTAAAAAGGGAAAGTCATACTTCAGTCATTTTAAAATTATATATATATATATAAAGCTCAATGTGTTACTCAAAAAGTTGCTTTGTATAATGTCAGAATTCAGGGTATTGTAAACATTTTCTGAATTTCCATTTGAGTTGGAATCCACACATGCACTTTTGAAATTTCAACTTGAGAAAAGAAATTATCATTGGATTAGGAAAGGAGCTCTCATCTCCTTAAAAGCTGAGTCCCGTTTTCCATAATTATCAATAATTTCGTTTTTTCGCTCCAGGCAGAGTTAGGGGTGATCATGGGCCGGGCTCGAGCCAGATTTTCCACTTATGATAAGGGATATAGTTTAGGCCCGGGGTCAGTCCAATCTGACTTGGGGTTCCGAGCGTGAAATATAAGTCCTAGCACAGGTCTACATAGGCTCCGGCCTAGGCCGGGCTGAGCCTGATTTTGGGCCAATGTCTTTCATATATAAAACATTACAGATTTATAATATTTTATATTAAATGACATAATATGCATATAAAATTTTATTTTATACATTATATAATATAAATTATACATGTGATGTTATAATATTTATATATAAAATATATAATATAATGTAAATAACAAGTATATATATGTATACATTATACACAAAATGTGTAAGTTTAAATATATGCGGGCCAGGATAGGCCCGGGCTGGACTTAAAGTATTAAGCCCAAACCCGACCCAAAAATTTACAAGCCTGATGTGGGGTCAGGCCAAAACACAAAACCTAGGCCCATGCCCGGAACCAATTATGATTATTATTTGATACCATTTCTCTCTCTCTCTCATTCGACACACAATATAGGGATGAGGGGAATTCGGGTGGGGCAGAGCAGATGCTCCATGCAAATCAGGCCCGGTGGCCATACCTAGGGCTGTAACTAGATCGGACTTGGATCATATACAGTAAATTTTATATCCTATCTCATTATTAAAAACCTACATCTGAGTTCGATTGGATTTAAAGACTCAGGATTTGAATTTAAATCCTAATGGACTCGGATCATATTCACATTTAATCTGACTCTGCTATAAATTTTCTAAAATACCAAAAAAATTAGAAATTTATTTATTTTTCAACTTTTATATATAATAAATTAATATAAATATAATATACGAAATTTATTATATATATAAATTTATATATAATATATAGAATATATTTTTATAATTTTAAATATCATTTTATAAAATTTATATATTAAAATTAATAAATATTATAATATAATTCAATTCAGATTTTAATCAGATTGGATGTGGTCAAATCTGAATCTAAATCCAATCATATTATTAATGGGATGTAGATTGTAACATCTGAATTCAATCCAATTACATAAATACATCTCTCAAATTCGAAATAATATCGGGCCTTGGATTTTTAGGTATCATTAACAGGCCTAGCCTTACCACGAAGAACCTATAGTTCGATAGGTTTGATCCCGTGCCTCCTAACTGGATGGGATGCCAAGTGGCCAACCCAACTACGAGGTACCTTCTATTGGCTCATAATGACTTCTCGAACCTTGAGAATTTGAAATGGATGTGCCCTAGTTCTAGATTTAAAAACTAGAAAATGCATGCACTTAAGCTACAATCGTATCGAACATTAGCTCTTCAAATTATTTTAAAATGCATGCACTTAAGCTACAATCGTATCGAACTCTAATCAAATAGTTCATACGGGTATCAATAGTATTCAAAAATCCGATTTTAAATTTGAGGTTCAACATAATCGAATTAAATTCGAATAATTTGAATATGTAATTAGTTAAAATCATACTTCTTATTTATACCGAATAGTTAATTGGATTTGAATTCGGATATGATCTAATCCGATTCAATAAATATCCAAATTCAATCGATTATTTAATTCTTGTATATAATATATGAAATATTTAAATGTTTTATATAATTTATATATAATAATTAAATTATATAAATAGTTTATATATTTTATAAACTTTATATAAGTAAAATATTTATTTTATATATTTATTTATTACCTAAAATAATTAATTGGTCGAATTAGAATCAAATTGAATATTCGAATATTTAATCAAATTAGGATTCTAATATTATTTTACAATATCCGTCGAATATCGTATCGAATTTGGATATTGTCTGATTTGATTCGAATTCAACCCGTTTACATCCCTAATAGTTCGGGCTCAAGTTCGAACCTTGGGGTAAATTCGATTAGTTATTTGAGCTTGATTTCGACAAACAAAAAGTTCCACTTGAAAGCTTGCGGGCTTGGCTCAATTAACACACACACACACACAAAAATATATTCATTTATGAGCTTTGGAGTTGAACTTTAGCTTATCGAATACATAATCGAACAGAGCTCAAATCGGAAAATATAGTTCAAGTCGAGCTCAAGTTCGAACTCGATTGGACCTGGTAGCATTTTAGTGAAGCTGAGCCAAGACCGAGTTCACATCTCCCGCCCCACCGCCTATCGCCCCACAAAGGCTCCACACAATGTTCGATTGCCACATGTCCAATCACATGTAGTGGGGCATTCCCGCGTGCGGGGCTAATGGGGCGGTCGTTAGCTCATCCCGTTAGCCCCAAAACGAGCCCAAACTTCTTTTCTCCCATACAATGTTTTAAAAAAATGACCCAAAAACTGAACCATTTTGGCCACCGATTTTTGGGCCAATAGTCCAATCATTTAGTTCGAACAAATGCCCCATTCTGACAAATAAATTAAAAAAATAAAAAATGACCAAGAATCATTGAACGGGTCAACGGTTTGACCTTCTAAGTCAACAGGTTGTTGACTTTTTCAATGATTTTTGGCCAAATACCGGGTTTGGCCAGTAACGGTGAACTGGTCGAAGCGATCGCCATTGCCAGAAATGGAGTTGGATCTGAGTTTGGGCAGGGGGGAGTAGAACGGGGGTCATACACAATTTGAGGCAAGGTTTTCAAACTACCGTTGACCCAAACGGTCGGACCGTTCGACCCAAGAACTATTCAGGCAACTGGTTTCCGTTGACTCAGGCCGTCAACCCGTCGACCCGCTCGACGGTTTTTGACCATTTTTTTATTTTTAATTATTATTTTTATATTTTTCAATTTATTTGTCAGAACGGCCCATCCATTCGAACCGGATGATCAGATCGTCAACCCAGAAAAGGTGGCCAAAATGGTTCCATTTTTGGGTCGTTTTTTAAAACATTGATTTGAGGTTGAGGGGTAGGAATATGGAAGAAAGGAGGTTTGGGCTCATTTTGGGGCTAACGAGATGAATGGACGGGCCATTCTGACAAATAAATTAAAAAAATACAAAATAATTAAAAATAAAAACCGTTGAATGGGTCGACGGTTCGATTGCCCGGGTCACTGGAACTTATTGCTCGAACAGTTCCCAAGCCGAACGGTCCGACCGTTGGGTCAATAGAGATTCAAAAACCTTGTCTCAAATTGCGTTTGGCCCAGTTCTGCTCCCCTCCCCTTGAGCTCGGATCCAACTCCATATCCGACAACGATGATCGCTCTGGCCAGTTTACCGTTACCAAGTAGGCATGGGTCAAATGGGTTCCATTTTACCCCAAACCTACTATTTTTCCAAAAAACATTGAAAAAGTCAACAACCCATTGACCCAGATGGTTGAATTGTCAACCTGTTCAATGATTTTTTATTATTTTCTTAATTTATTTGTCAAAATGGGCCATTCGTTCAAATTGGACAATCGGACTGTTGAACCCGAAACCAATGGTCAAAACAGTTCCATTTCCAGGTCGTTTTTTAAAATGTTGTATGGGAGAAAAAAAGTTTGAGCTCATTTTGATACTAACGGGACGAGCTAACGGCAGTCCTATTAACGCTACACATGGGAACACCCCGTTATGTGCGATTGAACATATGACATTCGCACGTTATGTGGGATGTTTGTGGAGCGGAGATGTGAACTCTTATGGACCAAAGCATCTCTGACGCATTATCGTTTTTTTGGTATAGTTCACATGTCAGCCCCACAACACATCCTCGCCGTGTATTAAGAACATCTTCCGATGATAATATCAATCTTGATGATGTTAACATCGGGAGGTGTACCCAATACACGGCGGAATGCGCTGTGGGGTGGAGATATGATCTCTTTTGGGTGTGTTGACCGTGAAAGCCATTGGGTTTAGTTACCATAAATAGCCCTTGTGTGGAGCCAAAATAGGTTATTCGAATTCTAGTTTCCCCAAACACCATCACGAATTCTATTACTTCTACTTTCCGTGCGTAATACCGTGCAGGAGGATGAGATACACATGCGATATTTCGTGGGTAGAGGTAGGTAGGTAGAATTTGTATGGGCATTCGGGAGCTTCTGATGTGCATGTGAAATCGGTGTGAGATGTGCTCGGTAAGGAGCAAATCTCAATTCCTATTTCGTATAGGCTAGCAACGCAGTGATGATTCCGATTTCAACGTCAGCGGAGCGTATTTAGCGAATAAACCGTGTCCGTGTTATCTAACCTTCGTTCGCTTTTACTTTCTCGTCTTCTCACCAAAAAAAAAAAGTCCTCGTCTGAATTCCGGAAAAGTAAGAAGGAAGAGAAAAGAAGATGCATCTATGGCCTTCCCTGAGGATTAGGGATTCATTCAAGCTCGCTTACTTGAGGAAACTTGAATGGAATCTCCACAGAATGAATAGTGACGAGGAATCTCAAGAGAACCAGAAATTGCTCGAGAATGAAAAAGATGTTGATGACAAAGGATGTTCTGCTTCTAAGATCCCTGGAGTCGTTGCGCTATGCAAAGAGATGTTGATGATTCTCTCATGTTGCTACTGTTGTTTCTGCTGTGGAGGTAGGTAATATAACATTTTTAAGTTTTATCACTTAGCCCCTCGACCGTCTTTTTATTCTGCCGTTTTCTGGGTACACGTTATTTCTCTTTTTAACCTGCACTTGTTTGATTCGCGATGGTCAGCCGCTTGAAGCTTGATTGCCTTCTCTCTCCAGGCTGGCCAAAGCAGCTGTTAATCGCCTCCAGGAGTTCAATCTTCTTCGAGCCAAAATTTCTGCCATCCTTCTATCCTTAGCTTGAATCACAGATTGACAATTTCCTCTTGCAAAACGTAGCCTTTTCTTGTTGACTCAGTGAAGCATTCAAGTTAATTCCCACCGTAGACTGTACTTTCAGAATTCAGATTCCAAGACTCTGCCCCAGTCGGCGGAGCATTCCGTCAGTTTTGAATTTTTACGGTCCATTTTCTCCTCTTTTCTATTTTCTATTTTCTTTTTTTTTTCTCATTTATTTAGGAGAGAAAAAAGAGGGTTGGAAGTTAATTCCCACCATTTTGCCCTTACATTTCAACATAAGCTCTGTTTTCGAGCCGCCTTTTAAACTAAAAGAATTGAATATGGAACCAGGCACAGGGAGGGCAGAGTCAAGACATGGATGGCCCAGCTGATGGACCGCTTGGACCAGCCTCATCATTCCTTCTTGTGGCAGAATTAGCTCTGTCATGCATGGAAACGCCACAGTTGAACTTATTGGAAAACCTTTATATGTTGTCATATTTAAAAACAAGTTTCATAGGAAATCAGAATGATCAGTTTATTCTTAATCATCTGGTTATCAATCAATTCAAAACGTCTATGAATATTTTCTATCTACTGGTTATTATGTATAAAGCTGTTTTTTCCCCTCATTTTGCCACATGACTTTCTATGGTAGGACCCATTTAATGGTGCAACCTGATCTCCTGAATATTGACATGTGATATATTATAGAGCCCATGACCACTTTACATATCATGTTTCCTGTTGCCTCAATTTGACATTACAAGCCAATTAATTATTCATTTATTGAGAAAATAAATTTGTATTAGCTTAATCACATATATTATTTTATAAGTAAATAAATTAAATGAAGTAACTCATTAATTTATACAAAATTTGGAAATATTAGTTTATACAAGGATGAGAGACATCCTCTTCTCCTTGAATGCACACTTGGGCTGGGTTCCGAGGGAACTAAACTCTGAAGCCGCCAGTCTAGCTAAATCTGGTGCTCACAGGGATTACTTATTCAGTGATAGTTTTCTGTCTGTATAACTCTATGAGTGTTTGATCTCTGTGTACATCTCCTCATGTCCCTCTCTTTTTTATGAATAAAGCTACTTTTTTTTTTCAAAAAAAAGTTATATATAAAGTTTTTTTCTACTATTTTCTTGAACGCTTTTTGATACTATTGCATCTCTAGGCCCAACTGCTTTACCTTTGCCTCTAGCCTTTTAAAATCTTGATTCCACTCTCGCATACCCTTGTGGATATGGCATTAAACAGAACAGAATGGTGAAATAGGATTCATGTAGCTGACACAATATAGTTGGGATAAGGCTTAGATGATGATGATCATGATCTCACACACCCTTATCAGGGTTAATGAATTCTGCTATTTTGTCTTTGGCATTTATGACTATAGTGTTTCACCAATTGGGATTGGAGAGGGACTTGGAGAATGAGTGAGTGTTTTCATGGACCCAATTATTAATCCGAAAATAATTTTTTCTCCATTCTCAATAATCCTTCCTAAACTTTTGGATTAGCTTCTTAGAGTTGAGAATTTCTCTCCAAGTGCATGAAGCTTTCTGGTTGGGAATAGCTTCAAAAACTGAAAGAAGTTGGTATTGCTTAAAGATTTGGTCCATATTGTCTCTACTCACGAGTTATCCTATTGGTGCAAGATGTGCCACCTAATTGCTAGTCCTCTTTCCTCTCTAGGTTCAGCTTGTAGAAAGTTTAGGTCCTCTGTTTCGGCCTTTATTTTCTCATTGCCTTGGCATTTAGGTTTCTGTAATTCTAGAATGGCTTTTTGATAAAATTCAGATGTAGTGTCCATACGATTTCAAATAATGACAAGAAGAAAACTGTTCTAGTCAAACTAGAGAGAAAAGCCCATCTTCTCTAGTCGACTAGACTTTATTTATACCTTTCTAAACAAACCAGAATTACTCTTATACCCTTACTTAAGTGAAAGCCACATCAGCTAACTTAAGATATACTCGTAAGTACAATTAACATATAACTTAATGTAAAAAGCCTATACTACTCTTCTACAGTTGACTCTAACACTCCCCCTCAAGCTGGTGAGTATATGTCATATAGTCCTAGCTTGTTACATATGTAGTCCACTCTTCCCCGACTCAACCCTTTGGGAAACGATCTGCCCATTGATTTCCTGTGTTCACATATGTTGTACTTATCACTCCATTAAGCACCTTCTCACGTACAAAATGGCAATCAACTTCTATATGCTTCGTTCTTTCATGAAACACTGGATTAGAGGAGATATGAATTGCAGCTTGATTGTCACAATATAGCTTCATAGGAGTGTCAATCGAGTACCCTATTTCCTCTAGGAGATGTTTCAACCACACTAGTTCACATGTTGTGTCTACCATGGCTCTATATTCAGCCTCTGCACTGCTTCTTGCTACCACTGTCTGCTTCTTACTTTTCCATGTCACTAAGTTCCCATCAAGAAAAGTGCAATACCCTATAGTAGACCTTCTGTCAGATATGGAACCAGCTCAATCAGCATCCGTGTATCCCTCTATCTCAAGACTTCCTCCACTCTTATATAACAAACCATGACCTGGAGCTCCCTTCAAATACTGCGCAATCCTTAGAACCGCCTCCCAATGTGGAATTTGAGGATTCTGCAAAAAACTGACTCACTACACTGACTGCAAATGAGATATCGGGTCGAGTGATGATTAGGTAATTCAGCTTACCTACCAACCTTCTGTACTCTCCCGGATCCTCAAACTCCTCACTTGCATCACTGCTCAACTTAGCATTTGGTTCCATGGGTGCTTCTGCTAGTTTGGCACCTAACAACCCTGTTTCCTCTAATAGATCAAGGACATATCTCCTCTGGCACAAATTAATACCATTCTTGGACCTTGCTACTTCTATCCCTAGGAAGTATCTTAATTTGCTAAGATCCTTTGTCTGGAAGTGATCATGCAAGTAAGTCTTCAACCTGTCAATCCCTGGTCTGTCACTGCCTGTGATAACAATATCATCTACATATACCACCAATAGGATCTTCCCAGCACTGGACTCATAGCTGAATACGAAATGGTCAACCTGATACTATTTCATGCCAAACTTCTTTACCACTTCACTGAATCTACCAAACCATGCACGGGGGGATTGTTTAAGCCCATAAATAGCCTTCTTAAGTCTACATACTTTCTCACCCTCCCCTTGAGCAAGAAACCCTGGTGGTTGCTCCATGTACACTTCCTCGAGGAGATCACCATGTAAAAAAACGTTCTTAATGTCAAGTTGAAACAAGGGCCAATCAAACATAGCAGCAGGAGAGATAAGAACACGAACAGAACCAATTTTGGAAACTGGGGAGAAGGTGTCTGTGTACGATACCATACAACTATGAATAATCATTGGCAACTAATTGAGCTTTCAACCGTTCAACACTCCCATCAAGCAAATATTTAACAATATACACTCACTTACAACCTACAACATGCTTACCAGGCGGAAGAGTGGTGAGGTCCCACGTATGAGTACGAGTCAAGGCCGAGAGTTCTTCTTCTATTGCTTGGCGCCACCCTGGAGAAGTGAGAGCTTCCTGGACATCCTTGGGAATAGAGACAGATGATAACATAGAAACAAACTGGCGATGGGAAGCTGAAAGGTGAGATACAAACACATAATTGGAAATGGGGTGAAGAGTGCAACTACGTTTACCTTTCCGCAAAGCAATAGGGAGATCAAGGTCAGAAACAAGGGGTGGGGCTGGGGTGGGAACAAATGCTGGATCTGTTAACGGTGACGAAGCTGGAGGAGGAGCTAGTACCTGACGATGCGTATACACTTGTCGGATGGGTGGTCGTTCCGCAAGTAGTTGCACTGGAGGCAAAGACTTGGTCACAATTGGAACAAGAGGAATGGGGTCCTCAACTGAAACTGGAAGGGGAGGTGATAGTGATGGAAGAGAAGAAACATTCGACCCGGAGAAAAAAGGAACAGACTCAAAGAATGTAACATTAGGACACACAAAAGAACATCAGGAACTAGGATTATAACACTTATACCCTTTTTGAGTCCTAGAATAGCTTAGGAAGATACACTTAGTAGATTAAGCATCTAACTTGTCCATTCCAGGCCCAAGATTATGAACAAAACACACATCCAAAAACTCTAGGAGTAAGGGGAAAAGGAGACAAAGTGGGAAACAAAACAAAGAATGGTGATTGGCCTTCAAGGATAGACATGGGCATGCGGTTAATAAGGAAGCAGGATGTAAGTACATCATCACTCCAAAAGTGTTTGGGAACATTCATATGATGTAAGAGGGACCGAACAGTTTCCAAAAAGTGACGGTTCTTTCTCTCAGCCACCCCATTTTGTTGAGGGGTGTAGGTACACGAGGTTTGTTGGATAATGCCATGTTGTTCCAAATATTCTTGAAATGGAGTATAAAAATACTCGTGACCATTATTAGAATGGAGAATTTTAATGTGTACATCATATTGATTGTGAATCTCAGCATAAAATTTTTAGAAAATAGAAAACAATTCACTCATTTCTTTCATAAGGTAAATCCATGTCATCCTTGAATAATCATCAACAAAAATTACAAAGTACTTGTAACCAGTATAAGACACTATTCTGTTTGGACCCCAGATGTCCGAATGGACTAAAGAAAAAGGACTCGACATACGATTATCAACTCTAGGACTAAAGGGAACACGATGATGTTTCCTAAACTGACACGACTCACAATTCAAAGTAGAAAGACGACTCAACGACGAAACAAGTAACTGAAGAGCTTTAAGAGACGGATGACCAAGTCTGTAGTGCCATTGATGAGGAGACTTAGTCAATTTACTAACAGACTTAGTCAAGGTAATACAGTCCACCAGCTTCATGCCCTCCACCAATCTTCATCCCCGTCTTAAGATTCCGAAACACACAAGAAGGGTAAAATGTGATAGAGCAATTAAGAGACTTAGTCAATTTACTAACAGACATCGGGTTAAAGGGAAACTTGGGAACATATAAAACTGAGGATAGGGATAATGAGTCTGTGTCAACATTATCAACACAGGCATATTCTGATCTGTTTCAAGTCCACAACATGCTGCTTCACCTAAGTGGCCGTCACATCAATCATAGCCTGGAATATCTTCATCTGTTGAACCCAATGGGTAATACAAACCATGGCTCTAGTTGGACATATACGTGCATATTCTTTTTCTAGCTTCTTTGTAGGTAAAGGCACACTTATGTTTAACTGGACATGTTTATCTTCCCCCATTTTCTGATTGGTTTCTACTTTTCTTTCTTTTTTGGCTCAACCTAGGACTTCCAGTAATTGAATCCACTGTGATTCTAGTTTCTTCCTCTAGTGGTACCTTTGGTTTTGCTTCTGAAATTCTGTTACCTTGAGCAGAATTTTGTTCATTACAAAAAAAACCGAAAAAAAAGAGCAGGATTTTGTTTTGCTTTTCATATATAAGATTTTGCAGTTTACTTGTACATCAGTCTGGATTCTCTTGGAAAGGATTTCATATTACTTGGTCACATATTACCCTAGTATTTGTAATATTGAGTTTAATTGCATTGCATTATATTGGGTTCCCCAAATGGATCATATTTTATGTATCAAATTTTCTGAAGAGGGTTCTGTTTTGTACCCCATAGTCATGTTTTGGTTTTCTAAGCTGAGTTGACATACAATTGCATGCTGCACCAGCTAGCCTATGGAAGCAGAGAATCCTCTGTTGAAGGGCCTATTAAGGCTGTGAGGCCATGCTGCATTGAGCCTCCTGTTAGCATTTGGCTAGGATTTTGATGGGAAATTAATGCTAAAGAATTATTAAAAAATGTTTCAAGGCAGATTATAAAGTTTTAGATGGTTTTGGGCTGTTGGGATAATAGCATTGCGGTTGAGAGAATATCAAGTGCTTTTTTTGTTGGTACCCACATGCTTCCTACCCATAGAATCCATAATTTCTAATCCCTTCTAGGTCCACTTACCAAAAGAAATCCCTTTTAGTTTTCCTCTGTAGCTCTAGCTAGATCATATCAGAAGAAACACATAGCCAAGTTATGAACTTACATTAAAAACTACCTTAGCTTATTGCATTGTCCTTTTTTGTACAGATTCTCGTTGTACAAAGGACAAGTTATTAATATAATCATACTTTACCTACTTTCAAAAAAAATTACATTAAAAACTACCTTAGCTTATTTGCATTAAACCAAACTTTATTAGGCATCTAAATATAAACAGGAAAGAGAAACAAAGGTTGTTGTATTGACCTGTAGAACTTCACTTCTCATGTGTTGAGGTGTTTATCTCTTGTCAAATACTCTTTATGCCCATTTTTATATTTAGATTATTTTCTCCACCTAACCATGGGTGTCTCCGAGTTTAAGGTTGTATGAGTCTCCCCTGATAAGAATGACTGTTGATCTGGATATAATAATTTGAGTTTGGATACTGTTGAAAATTACTTGAATGAGAAGACTTTGTATGTCTGATCCTCTTTTCTGTCTTTCAGCATGCCTTGATCAAGAAGAGAACTGATGCTGAGATTAGGGAGGAAGCTTATGGTATAAGAGTAAAGAATCTTCAGTAAAGTTGTGTATTCATTTTCCTTTTGTTTACACTTTTTCTCCTATACATTATAGAGTTCACCATCAAAAATGGATCTAGCCTCTTGATGAAATGTTTGGAATGCAATCATCTCAGGTTTTCTAGAAATAAACTCATGTACAGTTGTTCTTAACAACCTGAACCAAAATACATTTCAGGTTTTAACCTGTGGGTTCAAAAGCTATGGAAAACTAATATTGGTGGATTCGATTTTTACTTTGTATATTGGCTTTTACCTCCCCACCCCCCACACACACATACACCCCCCCCCAAAAAAAAACCTTTGTATCTGAATTGTGAACAGAGAAAATGATGCTGTGTGGTTATTATATATTTTTACTTTTAAATTTCCTTTTCTTTCTTTTGTTGACTTAATTGTATTCATTGTGTTCAAATGCAATTAGAACCGGGATAAAATGAGTTAATGTATATTGTATTCAATTATTCATATCTCATTAACCTAGATCACTATTTAGGTCAGCTCAAACCGAATTTGACTAACCCAGTCCAATTGCCAGCCAGTTCGATTGGGTTGTCCACGCTATAGGTCTGGGTTAAGATTGTCAAAAATCAACCTGGTTGAAAAATGGCTTCAAAAAGGGAAAAAGAAATCTGGTTGAAAATGAAGTTGGGTTAGGTTGGACTCAGCAAACTTGATCCGGACAGAATTTGTTGGTGGTATGGCTAAAAAGAGATCTCATAGGGCTCTGCAGTGTCAAGAACTAATAATATACAGCCCTAGGTAGGTTGTGGATATATACAGATTACAGTTAGCAACTAAACTTGATTACTTGGTCTCCCTCCGAGGCAAGATGATAGACTTATACATAAAACTGGTTTTGTTCGAGATTGTCCCGCTCTAAATCCTTGACAGGTGTTCGGTTGTTTGAAGAAATTCACTCCGTCACCCGCATTGAGTTTCTGTACTCCATAGAATCAAACTTTGGTTATTGACAGTAGATGGTCGTAACTCGTAATTTGTCATCCATGATCATCCAAGCATTGTCATGTTACTTCATTAAATGCAAAACATGAAATTAAATCCCTTTACCCATTTACCAACTGATGTAGGGTATCTGGCCTATCTGCAGATCTCAACACGTGGTGTCAGCTGGATGCCCGGTACCTTGACACATGGCGTCGGTTGGATGCATCCTGACCACCTATAATCAATCACTGTCAACCACCACCATCTGCTCCCAACTATTCTCAGGAACCTTCAACTATAAAAAGGGCTCCTACATTGAGGTAAAGACACATTAGAACTTAAACTTTAAGTCTCTTCTCTTGCTTGGTCCGATCCCTCACAACTCTTAACTAATTTGACCGTTAGGGGCCCCGGGAGGAACCCCAGGAGCGGAGACTCTAGGATATCTCCCGGGGCCTCTAACATCTTCTTTCTCTCAACAAGTTGGACCCATCAGCTTCGGATGCTGGAAATTATGTTGTTGCCCTCGGCTCCACATTTGGCAACAACAATTGGCATCGTCTATGGGAACGTCTTTAAAACTTTCCCTTAAGAAAAAACAAACCTAATTTAATCGACTAGTGTCCCTGAAATGGCTAACAAGAAAAACCCCTTCCCTGGCATTCGAAACTACGATCGACTAGTTCGAGTTGGCCCTTAACAGGTTGGACAACCTGGCCTAGCAATTGGACAATATAGGGCATCTGGTAGGAAGCCACCTATTGGGTGGCTGCCCTGCTGGAAGTCATGGACAACTTAGTGGGCGATCCGCCCATACCTCGCTAAGCCAACACTTGGGGGGATCAAAAGGAGCTAACCCCTCGAATTCTGATAGTAAGAGTTTACGGGTTAACAAGCCCCGTTCCAAGACCCCTCGGCTGGGAAGACGAGGTGGCGAACCTGTAGGGCCCCATGCCAATTGCAAGAATCACAACCATTGACACCATTGCACTGCGACCAATCGGGACGACGGTAGGCACCCAGGCTACCATAGTCCTCCTCCAAGGGTAGGAGGCCGATGCCACACCTCCTCCCTACCAATTTTCGACCTCTGCGACCTCCTCAATGATCGTCATGCCTTCAAGGCTCAAGATGTACTGAAGTCCGAGCACTCCAGGAATAGGGCCAACCCGTTCTGTGTGATAGAGAACCAAGATCATTTCGAAGCAACGATGCCCTACATCGACCAATACTTCGAAGATATTCAAGTGCAAATTGGCGCCCTTCAAGACTAGCTTCGACAGGTAAAGGAGGGCCAAGGTGATGCCTCTACCAGTTGCCCTACCACATCCAACCGAATGGAGGTGTTGAAGGATTCCGTTCTCTCTAAGCCCCTTTTGCCAAATTTCAATGCCCCAGCGTTGGAGACCTACAACGGGAGTACAAACCCCGAGGACCACCTATAAAGCTTCTGGGCCTTCACGCTCCTACACGGGTACACCGATGGTTTTCCAATGGTTTTCCACATTGCCTCTACACTCCATTGGCTCTTTGGAACAGTTCGCGGACCTTTTCCTAGGTCACTTTATGAGCAGTCAACGGTGTCAGCAAACTGTTATCTCTCTGATGTCTGTCAAGCGGAAGCACGGGGAGAGTCTCCGGGCATACATGAAGAGGTTCAACTAGGAAGAACTCGAGGTCAAGGACCTCAACCCCTTGGTCTCCATGCACACAGCCATTAGTGGCCTCCGGCTTAAACCCCTCAGCTGGTCCAATTCCAAGACTCTGCCCAAGACTAAAGCCGAGTTCTTGAAGAAGGTTCAAAAATATATCACCGTCGAAGAGGCTAAAGCCAACAAACGCCTCCAAGAATCGGAAGTTGAGGCCAACTAAGGGCCCAATGGCAAGAAGGTGAAGGAAAAAGACGGCCTCGACGGCTGTCCCACCAACAAAGGCGGAGAAAAGATGCCGTTGACCCCTTCCTTCACTAAGTACACGCCAACAAAAGTGGAGAGAAGAAGCCACTGACCCCTTCCTTCACTAATTACACGCCACTAAACTCCTCCTGAACGCACATACTGATGCAAGTAAGGAATGGGGAATTCATGAATTGGCCGACTAAGTTGAAGAACCCGAGAAGGGGGAATCCCAATAAGTATTGCAAGTACCACCACGACACTAGCCATAACACTAAGGACTGCTACTATTTCAAGAACAAGATCAAGTCCCTCATCCATCGTGGGCACTTGAAGGGTTTTGTCAAAGGCGATGCCCCAGTGTCATCCTCACAGCAGCCATAGGCTGAGCCCCATAATCATCGCTCCTTGGCCGGAGTCAGTGAAATCATAGTCGGAGGCTCGGCCTCATGGGAAGCATCCACCTCATCTCGAAAAGCATATGCCCAACAATACAACATCTAGGGTCAAGCACTAAAGAGGTCAATGTTACAAAACCTCATTTCCTTCTCAAATGATGACCTACGGGGGGTATCTGTGCGCTACGTTGATGCATTGGTGGTGTCAATGACCATCACCAACTACATTGTGAAAAAGGATTCACATAAACAATGGCTCTTGAAGGGATAAGAGATCCATCATATGGATGACCGAACCCTGCAGGTAGGTTAGGCGAAATTTCAAAAATTTCCTCTCCCCTCATCTGAGAATCACATTCCCTGTTTTAGAAAATCTGCATTTTCAAAGATCAATCTTGAACCATAAACCAAACCAGATCTGAAACCAAAAGCAGGAGAGGAATATACCTGATACAGAGAAGCAGTATCTCCTAATGGAGGTGTTCACGCCCAAGGTAGGAACCAAAGACTGCTCTCGCTGAAGATGGCATAGTGTAGGATGAAGCAGAATCAACAATGTTCTTCCAAAAGAACTGAACCCTTCACAAAAATTCGCTGGAGGCAGTGAGTACACTTTCAGATCAGCCTTTCTCCAAAGACTGATATCAAGATCCAATCTTGATCACTCCTGCTAGAAACAGGAAATCGAACTGGCAGTAATGGCGATGGCAGGAAGGAGGCGGCAAGGAGAAAACAACTCAGTCTCACTGAGTGTTGTGTTCTCTCTTTGAATTTCGAATGTGATTGATCTTCTATAGTTGCCGCCCCCATTAGGAGTTGCTGATCCAAATCATATTTGGATCTGAATTCCCCTTAAGAGATAAGGATAGATCCTTATCTTATTTGCATATTAGATCAGCCCTCTCCTAATCTGATTAGGAGGTTTCCAGATCTGAATTTGTATTCAGATTTGGACTCTCTGAGCGGATAGGGTAATCTGCTAATCTAATTTCAGATTCGCCCCTTCTTTAACTGATCAAATCAGCCCAGTTCGAAATGGGCTTTAGGCCCATTAATAGTATGTGCTCACTTAGCCTTCCAAATTGCTGCCCAGTTGGGCTTCCTTGTATGGCGTGGGACCCAAGCATTGAATACACATCAACCACAAGGGTTCAGCCCAACCTTTGTTACAAGGCCTAGCCGAATTCTCTGGAAAGCCTAGTGAACCCCCTGAGCCCATCACATGCACTCTATGGGCCCAACACTTACATTAAGTGGTCCTTGGGCCAAGCCACCTTGTAACACCCAGGGACTATGGGCAGATACAAGATTAGCCCATCAGGTATTACCCTCAATGGTCTTACACTTAACTTCTCAGCCCATAATGATCATACACTGCCCGACAAGAGAGGACCTCTCCCTCGGCTGCAAGGAACAGTGTTGCACTCTCT